GGTGCCGAGCTATCAAAAGAAATACTTCACCACATATACGTTCACTGGAGGACATATTCTAGCAATATAAAACTTGGTGTGCTCTTTGCAATTCTTTGCATTAGAAGGCTTTTGGTGGCGGGCTTAAAAACAGAATTATCTGCAATTATAACAAGCGGAACATACGACAAAGACGAGTGGGTTCGACTAATTTCTAAAATGCTTCTGGAATATCCCAATTCGCAGACCCTTGATTTAAATATCGAACAGTATATACCGGAAACTGCAACGAAAGGCATGCACGAACTAATGAGCAAAATCAGAAAAAATGGAATTAAATTTTATCCGGTAGAATATGCGTTTTTTGATCGCGAGATATGTGACGTTTTCGATCCATTTTCTTCGTGTCCGGCCACCCAGACGACACATTTTACTTTACGACAAGGAATATCAAATAATGAGAGACTGCTAAAACTGACAAATTTACAAGTACCACCATCGCCAGGATTAACCTCACCAATAAATACCAACGCATTCAATTTTGAACCGCTGCAAAATCGTGGACAATCACATCCATCGGTTGGTTAGTATATTGGAATGCATTAAATGATTTCCTTTTTCTCAAAATGCGATGCTAATATTCTCTTAAAATTCTACAGGACCTCCTTCTCGCTCAAACTCAATTTCAGGGCCATCACTGTTCATACCAAAGAGAAGGCCATCACAAATTAATCAGCCGTACCCAAGGCCTCCTATTCCTCCTCCTCAAAGATCTGGTTCGACAAATATACCGCCCATGGGAGCAATGAATATCAATCCGGGTCCAAGATCGCCTGAAATAAAAATTTCCCAAAGGAAGACATACCAAAAACCTACGCGGATTCAAATGATCGACATATCAACCGGCTCATCAATTATCAAGAATCAGGAAGAAACCAGACGATTGACACAATTAGAAGAACAACAACAAAAAGAACTGAAAAAACAAGAACGAGCGCGAAAAGCGGAGGAGAAGAGACGCGAAGAAGATGAAAAGAAACAACAACGGGAGCGTGAAAAGGCAGAAAAGGCGCGACAAAAAGAAGAGGCAAAAATAGCAAAGGAAAAAGAAAAAAAAGACAAAGCTGCGAGAGCAGCTTCTGTTGAGGTGCAAGCTAGTAGCGGTCGAAAAAAGAAAAAACTGGATGAGGAGGAAATAATTGAGGAAGAATCTATTTCTGATGGAGAGCTTCCCCATAAAAATCCTCAGGTGATATCGGCGTCCCCATCGTCACCGCCATCGATTTCAAAATCACCAATTAATGTGGATGATTATGATAATGATTACTTATCATCAATTAATGGTGGTGTTCCTGAAACGAATGAGAATGGTCCGGAAGTTATTAACAGTGGTGTTTCTGAATTTAATGGCGACACTACTGAATTTAATGAGGGCGTTTCTGATGCTACCTCAGTGGCCGAGTCATCCAGGCAACCAACAATACCCGAGGATGTTTCTATTCCCTCAGAGCAACCAATGGATCAAACAGAAATATCACTGCAACTTTACAAAGAGTATCCCACTCGCGAGATGTCTCAGAAAGATCGAAGACTTTTCGAACGTAATTGCTCGGCAGTCTTAAGTCAAGCCAATAAAATTGACGGAGATCCCAATTTACGGCAATGTATAATTAATTTTTTGGGCGGTGTTCATGAAGTCAAAGCTCTTATGGCTGTCTCAAAAGGAGTCAATAATCCAGAGGATGACCTTCGGCACATCGTGCTCCATGAGCAAACAATCAGGTCCCCGGAAGGAAAAGCCATCAGAGAAACATTTATTTTCGAAATGAATATTGAAAACGGTCAATGGAGAAAGATCAAGAGAAGAAAGACGAAAGGGTATAAGAACAAAAAGGATAACGAAGAAAGAAATCGAATGATGATGGATGAAGGAAACCAAATAATGATGGACGAAGAAATGAATCAGGAGATGGAAGAAAGGAATTGATTTAGCGAATAAAGACAGGCGTTATGATTAATTTTGAAAAATAATAAATTGTAGATGTTTGGAAGTTAATATCCTATCGTTTCGGTGTTGATCGAAACGCTTACATTTTAAATCACAATTAGCATAATTGTTTTACTTGTAAAGATTCGTGTAAATTCAATTTATTATGAATATTGCAAACGTCCTTTGAGTACCTCGTCTTGCCAGAAAATTTTATCAAAAATTCGTGCTTCTCAGTAAACAGATTTCGAGAAAGATAAATTTAGGTTGGTGCAAAAATACTATAAATAATAATAAAAAAAAATTTGTGCTGAACGTGTAGACATTACGGTATTTATTTATTCATCTATTAAAGATTTAGATTATTAAGCATATATGATAATAAAACATACCATATAAGAATAATTTCTATAAGCATCGTCTTTTAAAAAAGCATTATCATGGTGCGATAATATAATAATGACCAAATCAAAAAAGAATCTTTGCCGAAAATCTAATTATTTATTTTAAATACAGTATATACAGTATATCTATTTCTATCAAGTTTAATGGATTCTTTAGCAAAGTTTGTTTTATTATTTCTAATCAGAAATTTGTTATAATAACCAATAATGCTATTTATTTTTAATATATACTGTATATTAATTTTAAAAGTTACAGTATCTGAAATTACCTAGTTTCTTTTATTAATAAACCAATTATATTTTTTAAATATAATGTATTAAATAATTTTTTTTACTAAATTATTATTATTTGTTATTTTCTTTTTAAGATGAGACAGTTATTATGTTTTTTATTTTTTTCTAATTTTAGATTTGGTTAAAAGCAAAATTATAATATATTAAGGTAAAGTTTGTTTCTTTTTATCAAAAAAAAAGCTCAATACAAGATTGAAATAAGATATCTTACTGCAATTGATTAATAAAAGCCGCGCATGTATCGCACTTAGCCCCCCCCCCCAAAAAAAAAATATATATATACATAATTGAAAATATAATATAGGTAACTAATTTAATTAATTAATGAATAATTTATTACATATTATCATATTAATTATGCATTTTAATGCATAATATTATATTATATTTTATTAATTTATATATTGAAATAATTTTAATAATTGATATTATTATTTTTATAATTAACAAAAAAATTAAAACTTTTAAATTGCTACAGTATCTCTTTTTAATTATAATTTAATTATATTATTTTAATATATTTTAAAAACTTTTTTACATATTTCTATTCTTTATATTATCAAATACACACATATCTATTATTATTATTTTTTAATATTAAGTAAAACATTTGTTTATTTTTATTTAATTATTTAATTAATTATTAAATTATTAATAAAATATGAGTTTTGATTTTTTTTAATTATTTTTATCTCATATTATATATATAGTATATACTAAAATAAAAAATAAATATATATTTTATTTTAAATAATATTAAGTATAATAA